GCCTGGTCCCAGTTTCATGAATGAAACTGGTTAACTAGCGTGACCCCTGCCCCAAACATCCTCACCTTCAGCTGGAACCAAAGTTTGAGCCAATGGGGATCCAAGCAAGTCCACCTCCTGAACGTCAGGCCCCAGCTGGTCTGGCCTTGGGCCCAGTGTTCAGAAAGTGAGGCTAAGACTCCAATCCCTTAGCCACTCCAACCCCCACCCCAGCAAGGCCTCTAAAGCCAAGGCCACCCTCCCAGACCTGCCTCTCAGCCCCCACTTGCTCCACAGCTCGCCAAGGGCGGCTCCAGCACGTCTTTCCAGCTGTCTGGGGCCGCGCTTCAAGCAGGGCCTGAGGGCCATGGAAGGCCTCCAGCTCAGCTCATTATCGGAATTTAATCTGGATTCCGAAAGATCAAGAGGACTCGGTGGAAAGTGACTCCCACAAGGGGAGAGACACGGAGGCCGACCCAAAGCCGGCTAATCCCCGGCACCCCCAGGGCTTTCCTGGAGCTCAGGCAGAGCTCGCCAGAGAGCCAGATGTCCCAAGCCTGCACAGCTGGGCGGCTGGCAGTAGTGAGGCCACAGCTCCCTCAGCACAGAGACCAGGGCAGCTACACATCAGTGGCAGCCAGGTTAGAATTTGGGCTCCTCTGGGGCTCAGAGTAGCAGGAGACCTCTAAAAGGAAGAAGATGCATGGCCCTAGGTGGGGACACGCAGGGGACAGCTCCATTTCCAAACAGGTGAGCCACTGGAAGTGTAGAGGGCTTCCAAGAGCATGTTCAAGCTCAGGCCTTTGTCTCCATTGGGAGACTGCAAGATTAAGGGATTTGGCCCAGTTGAAGTGCACGGGGAGCTCTCAATTTTCCTAAGATGATCTCTCTCCGCTTCCTGCGAGGAGGAGGAGGGAGAAATGACTAACGTTAGTGAACCTTTGCTGAACACTTACTACGTCTCACACATGTTCTAAGTATGTTAACTCCCTTCATCCTCACCATGTCCCTGGGAGGGAGATTCAGTTATTATCCCTATTTTACAGACAAGGAAGCTGAGGCTCTGAGGGGTTACTGTTTCCCAAGGCCACACTGGGATCTCTTGGCAAAATTCGAATCCATGCTCTCAAGAGCTAGTTTATCCCACCTGGGGAATTACATAAGAGGATCGCCTTGGTTCTAGATTCAAAAACAAGACCACCTGCCCAGAAAAATCAATCAATCAATAATTTTTTTTTTTAAATTTTAACCTTTTAACTTCTGGAGAACAAGAGCTTTGCTTTCTTCTCTCAGGCCCAGGAAGACAATGTAGAAATCTAAAGAAAGCAGCCCCTCCTCCCCTCCCACTGCCTCTCAACTCCACCCCCTTCCCTATGTGACACTTCCACCTGCCGTGTCATCTCCACTCCTCCTCACAGCCTCTGTTGGAGTGGAAACTCCTGGAGGGCGGGGACTCCTGGCAAGGGCTCAGACATTTGCAAATGAGGACCCAACACTGGGAAGAGCATCCCCAAGAATGACCTGTGGCCACACATCTCAGACCGCCTGCCAGGGAACTGAGGACACGTGTGCCACCCGCCCCTCTCCCAGCTGCAGTGACTCAGGCCTTCTCCCCTCCCCCCAGCGCCTCAGGACCCACCCCACAGCTCTCAGTCAAGTAAGGATTTGAGCCTCCTCAAACCGTGATAGGACCAGGTGTCCATGAAGTCAGCAGCCTGTCACAGGCAGAAGGACAAGGAGCCATGGGCAGCCAGGTGGGTCCTGCCTCACTGTGAGGACTGACCCTGCCCTGGCCTTACCAGCCTTCCTCCCATCCTTCCTGTGACCTGTCCCCACCTCAGCACTGTGGCTCTTGCAGTTCCCCAGAGGCTCTCTTCCCCCTGCTGCCAAATCCATCTTGTCATTCAAACGTCCCCATCTCAACAAGGCCATGAGCCCCTCTAAGATATGCCCCCTCTCTGCTGCCACCGGATCTAGCTGGTCAGAGCAATTATCTATTTATTTGCTCACGTGTTTACTATCCATCTTCTTCACCCCTGTTCTTGGTTGAACTGAATCTTCCCAAAACTTATATCCAAGTCCTAACCCTGATACCTATCTATGTGACCTTATTTGGAAACAGGGTCTTCACAGATGTAATTAGTTAAGATGAGGCCACACTGGAGTAGGGTGGGCCCCTAATCCAATATAAGAGGAGGAGGAAGCCACACAGGGAGAATACCACGGGAACACAGGCTGGGCCACATGACAATGGAGGCAGAGATTGGACAGATACAGCTGTCAACCAGGGAATGCTACACTCGACGACCACCACCAGAAGCCGGAAGAGGTGAGGAAGGATCCTCCCCAACAGGCTCCAGAGGGAGTATGACGCTGCCAACACCTCCTGGACATTGAGCCTCCAGGACCCCGAGAGAATAAATTTCCATTGTTTTAAGCCATCCAGTTTGTGGTACTTTGTTAGAGCAGGACACTCATACGTCTCCAAACTTTCAGAAGAGGGAAGAGGCTCTGGCTCTCACACTCCCATGGCATGCTCCCATAGTCCCAGTTTTGAGAACAGTACCTGGCTCTGGGTGAGAAATAAATGAATCGCTGAGTCTCTCTGCAAATGCAGTGGCCTGTTACCTCCATGAGGGCAGCATCATGCTGGGCTTGCCGTGGCTGACCCTCAGAGCCTTCCACGTGTGCACCACAGTGTGTGCGTGAACAGGAGGCGTGGGAGCAATGGGAGGAGACGCCCCTTGCATGAGCAGCAGCGCCTGGGGGTGCTGGCAGTCAGGAAGCAGGTCCTGCCACGGGAAGGAGGAGCCCGGCATCACAAGTGTCCTAGTAGACCCAATGACCGCTGGCCGGCAAACAAATTCCTTCGTGGAGAACTTGAAGGGGGAGACGCACAAGTGACCTTAGCCAGCCTTTCCAGTTCTGTTCAGCCAGACCCACCAGGGGCCACTACATTCCTGAAGTTAAGCCTCTTGATGGAGCTTTTGGAGGCAGGCTGGAGAACCTGCCGTCAAGTGCTATTAAAGAGTAGCCTCTGGGTCCCTGTCCAGCCCCAATCAGCCTTCATGAGAAAAAAACAAACATAGGATCTTGCTCAAGAGTCCTGGGGGACTTGCTAGCATGCAGAGCAACACCTGTCACCCTGAGAATAAATTCGGTGCCTCCCCATGGTTAACTGGGGCACCCGAGTGCCTTTAGTAAGAGGCTCAGAGCTGATTACCAAAGCTGTCTGCCCCACCTCCCCCTGCCACCTGCAGCTCCTTTCCAGTACCATCCCCTCCAGCAGGGTCTGCCATCCTCTCTAGCAGGGGAGCAGTACAGGGTAGTGCTTGGGGTGGGGTGGGGGCTCTAAAATGCAAAATTAAACCACACTGAGGTACCATTTGTCACCCATCAGACTGACAAAAATCAAAAGAGCTTGATCATAGCACATGAGGAAAGCAGCCTGCCCTTCCGTGGCTGGTGGGAGCAGAAGGACAGCAGTTCAGCAAGTTCTCCCACAAACTGTGTGCCCTCTAACCCCACAGTTCTATTTCTAGAACTTTGTCTGATGGCTAGACATGCACAGGTGTGGAAAGAAGGGTACCCACTGCGGCCCCATCCATAACAGTAGAAGAATGGAGAGCCCACCACGTGCACGTGGGAGACTGGTGCGACACATCCTGGCACGATGTACATGACAGAACAGTGTGGCAATTAAAACAACAAGGACACTCTATGGGAGCCGACAGGGGAGGACTGTCAAGGTTCACCAGTCGATGATAACAGCAAGGCACGGGAGACTGGATGCGGGACGCACAAACATATTTCATAATTTGAGGAGACTCGAGAAACTGGTAGGGGCCACCTCAGGCATGGGGCACAGGGTGGGAGGCAGTCTTAGTTTTCACCGTAGCTGCTCTTCTCTCTTCTCAGTGTTACACCATGAACGTGTCTTGCCTGTTCAGCTTCCCAAACCTGGGCCCAGGTCCTAACGCAGCCACTTCCCCTCTAGGGGGCCCCAACGCTGTGGTCTCGGTCACTCCAGTTCTCCCCATTTTGCAGATGAGTCACCACCTCGAAAGGCTACTGTGAACAGGAAATGAGATCACAAATGCAAAACTTTGAAAACACTCAAGAAAAGTTTCGTTTTCTTAGTATTTAGATGACCCCAAAATAGCAGTGCTTGGCAAAGGTGGCGGTGAGGGTTCCTCTGTCCCCGACTGCAGTCGCAAGGCCAATTTGTAGCTGAAGATGCAGGACTGACTGGCCGGCAAAAGGAGGCGCCCACACCACCCTTCTTCCACAAAGCCCATGTTGCAGCATCCAGGGGAACAGTACAAGTCCCACAGTCTGAAGAGTCCATGACCCCAGCAGACACTGAGCGACACGACCTTGGTCATTTCCACCTCGGAACTGCAGAATGCGCTTGTTCCATGCTGCAGCCCTTCTCCTTAGCCTCCTTATGTCTCACAGGACCTTGAAATTAAAGGGTCTCAAGAAATTAAAGCCTTTCAACATAAACTCTTGGTTCCTGACCTAGTGATTCTTGGAAAGCTGAGAGCTCTCTGCCTGTTTGTCTTTGGTTTGGGTTTTTTCCCCTAACAATTTATTACAAACAGCCACTTTCCTTGGTTGCCTGGCCTCACGGGCTGGGTTTCAGCGTGAAGGTAGAAGAGAGGTAGACCTTCAGAAACTGTCCTTCCCCTCCCATCCCCATGCTGCTAAGCACACTGCCAGATCCAGACAGCCCATAAATACCAACCCACATGTGGCCTCATATCCCCAGGCTCCCTGGCCTTGTGCTATTTCCGAACGGATTCCACGATGGTCATAGCTTTAAGAAACAGTGACATACATCGTACATATTCTTTAAAAAAAGGATCGGGGACAGGGCTTGCATGTGGTTGGCGTTCCAGGTGGAAGGCACCATGACTGGCCCGTGCCCCCATCTGGCCCCACCCTCCAGCCTTCACCCACATCTTCCTCTGTAGCTGGAGGAAGCTCAGTGCCCTCCCAGGCACCAGGACAGCACCCACCTGCCCAAGTGCTCCTGGAGCACCTGGTAAACGCTGATCCGGAACGTCTCATTATCGAAGCGTTCCCGGATGTAGTCCTTGTAGATCCGGAATTCCGCTGCAGTCACGGCTTCCCCTTCCGGGATCTTGGAAAGATCAAACCGAAACTCCCGATGGTGGTAGCGTGGGTGGAAGAACTCTTTGTCGTGTTCCACTGGACGGGGAAGAAAACACACACCAGCATCAAAAGCCCGTTAGTATCTGGGTTTCACTCTCCCGGCTCAGAGTCCAAGCCTGCCACCTAAGACAGATGGAGACTTGTCATTGCTAGCGATCCTGGTGATAACTGCCCATTCCACACTGACACACTGTGGATGGGAGGGTCACAGGCTCAGGCCCCACTGTCATCTTGAAAAGTAAGAGCATGACTCTGCGTCCACCTGCTGGGAAAAGTGGGCACTGACTAAAGCCATGCCATGGGCCCTGGCCAGCCTCAGGGCCCGGGAGCTCAGGCCTGGGTTAGAATCCGGCCTCAACCACTAACTAACAGAGAGGCCACAGACAAGGGACCAGGCAACCAACGTAGATCTCAATTTCATCAACCAAAATTGGGGGTAATAGTCCTCCTTCATGGATTGTTGTCAGGTTTGCGTGATCTAATTCTCACAGACAACTTAATACCTGTTAGGGCTAGACAACCGTTAGCTACTGTGGGTAAACATAAAGCTTACTACGCCTATCATGGGACACCTTAGGCTGGTGGTTCTCTGCACATGAAAAACACCATGGAAGCTTTTTAAAAAACATTGATGCCCTGGCACAGTGGTGACCTGGTAAATGTTTAATAACTGGCTCTCTGGGACTTGATCTGCAATGTTTGCTGATTTTCATGGAGTGAATCCTGCTTTGACAGGTTTCAAGCCACCAAAGTGAGGTCACCGAACACAGATGAGAAGAGAGAACACCATGGGATCTATATACACAGTTCTTAACCCACCCTGGACCAAGTGTATCAACATCTTTGGGGAGGGGTCTGGAGGTCTGTAGAAATACCTGTACCAAGGTATTTCTAATGAGCAGCCAGGATTCAGAACCCCAGCCTCAGACTAAAAGCAGTAAAAGAGGTGAATGGTCAAGCCTGGGGAGCTTTTGAAAATGACTTCAGGACAAACTAAGGCAAAGGGCCTCCGCCCTTCTCCCCTACATGGCACCGATTTTAGACTAAGATATCATGCCCGTATCATACACAATGAACACCAAGACGGAGGTAAGACCAAGAACAGTGTCTCTGGGAGTGGCCCATGGCTCCAGAGGATCAGGCACCCTCAGGACCAGATGGAGCAGGGATAGCTGGGAGTCATCAGGTGCTGGAAAGGGCCGAATCTCCAGATCCCTCTCATCTCCTGGAGGATACAGCCCCATCTCCACTTGCTGCCTGGGGCTGGGGAAGAGGAGAGACAGGGAGATGGCAAGAAACAGGCAACCAGTTTGGCAGAACAAGAAGGCAGGAGAATAGGCTTAATGGGCCCTGAAAGCTCTTGGGCTGGGTTTGGGCTGCCATGGTTCCAAGCAGAACAGCAGGACAGAAATGCCACTGAGGAGTGTGCCATCAAGAAAGGGGGTCCACACCACAGGCAGCCCCAAGACCCTTCTTACAGGTCTCCATTTAAAAACAAAAAAGTTTTAAATCTTAATAATAGTTTAAAAAGATACTGGGGTGAGGGCAAGTCAGCATTGCGGATCCCTCAGGCTGCTCCCCACTCTGGGCAGAAGTAGCAGGTAAAGTCCTTGAGGCCAGAGGCTCTGGCTGGGCACAGGAGTGGCCCTGCCTTTGGCGAGACCTCAGGAAGCTGCTGGAGTCCTGGGCCACATGTGGACAGCTGGCTGGAGGGAAGGACTCTCCAGAAGCCATTCCACGGTCCCTCCCGATGACAGCTCCCCTTCTAACCCACCCCTTATACCCCCAAGGGGCACTTCTCTCCTGACCCAATCTATGGGAAAGGCCAAACTGAAAGGGAAAGAACAGCCAGGGGGGGGGGGGTCCCTGCACCTCACTTTTATTTACAGGGAAGGCGGGAGGAAGGAGTCTTTTGAATCAGCTTCTAAGAAGCACAGCCCCCAGAGAAGCCTGTGAGCCTTGGGAGGTGGCCCCAGGGTGAGGAGGCAAGGCCAATAGCCCGACTCTGTCCCTGTGGAAATGCCCTGGCTGGTCCTCTGTCACCTCTCCAGTTGCTTCAACCCTCACGCAAGAGTGGCCCTAGAAGGTGAGGACAATACCGCCTAGGTAGGGTGTGTACCTGAGACCTAAGGTGTTGAGTAGCCTGCCCAGGGCCAAAGAGCTAGGACTCAAACCCAGGACTACCCCACCATCCAGAGGCCTTAACCCCCACACGTCCCTCCAGCCCTGTCGACAGATCAGCGAGGAGAGCTCCTCTGCTTGTGTGTTGCACTGTCACCTGTGTGTCATGTGTACAATGACCACACATGCACAGCTCAGCGAACTGTCACAAAGTGACCCCACTCATGGAAACTCCTCCCAGATCAAGAAACAGAACATCACCAGCCCCCTTCCCTTCCCCCGACTTCTCAAACTAGAGGTTAGTTTTGCCTGTTTTTGAACATTCTATAGTAATACAGTATATATAATACAGGAAATAATATGGTATATTCTTTTGTGTCTGGCTTCTGTAATTGAACAGTGCTTGTGTGAATCATCTGTATAACTGAATGTCGATTTATCCTCACTGCTGTATAATATTCCATAGTTTGATTATACCACAATTCATTTATCCATTCTACATCTCACAGGTGTTTGGGACTCTTAAAGCAGTGCTGCTATGAACATTCTAGGACATGTATTTTGGTGAACGTGGGTATGTATACCTAGGGTGGAACTGTGTATATTCAGCTTTAGTAATATTACCAAGCTGTTCCCCCAGCGTTCTGCACCAGAGAAGTTTTAAGAGCACCAGGAGGAGTGGTAGAAGAAGACAGGTCTGCCTTATGAACGGGGTGGACACAGTCTGGGCACAACTTGGGCTTTTCTCCAAAGGACCAGAAGTAAATCCCCAGGCTACCTGAGGCCCAGGAGTGGCAGCAACTCCTGGAGAGTACCCCTGTACCCCCAGTGAGCTCCCAATGCATGCTCCACGCCCCATCCCTGCACCCCCAGTGAGCAATCAGTGCCTATTACAGCACTGCCCCCATTTACCCCCTCCACCCTAGGGAGTGAGCTCCCAGTATACACTCTGCCCTCAACCCACAGCCCTACCATGCCACCCAATCCAAGGTCAATAAAGACCATCCCATAACTAAATGGAAGAGATAAATGGTCCTCATCTTACTGGACCCCCACATAGTGGATTTCAATTACTATCAGTAGCTCTTCCCACCTTCACAAACCTCACCCTGCTGTGATTTTCTTCACTGGGAACTCTTGGGTCTCTCTCCCAACTCCCTGTCCTCTTCATCTTAGACCTATTTGTAGAGTCATCCCCTTCTTCGCTATCTTGCTGGTGTTTCTCAAAACTCAGATTTGGCCCTCTTCAAACACTATAGCCTTGCCCAGGAGATCACATCCACCCACAAACTGTAGTTATAGACTACATGTAAATGTAGCCTCCTTATATGCCAACGGTTCCTGCTATGGGTTAAATGTGTCCCCCAAAAGTCCATGAATTGAAAACTTAATCCCCATTGTAACAGTGTTAAGAGGGTGGGAAATCCTATTATGGTAACTGAAAGGTAAGGCCTTTAAGATTGTGAGGACTACACCCTCATGAATGGACTAATCCATTGATGGTTTGGTTTTTAACAGGCAGTCACGGGTGTGGTTCTGATGACTTTATAAGGAGAGCAAGTGAGAAGCTTCTCTCTCTCGTGTTCAGTCCATTCTCGCCATGTGACACTGTAGAAGGCCCTCACCAGATGGGTTCCCTGGACTTTGGACTTCCCAACCTCCAAACTTTAAGAAATTCTGTTTCTTTATACATCACCCAGTTTCAAGTATTCTGTTACAAGCAACAGAAACGAACTACTACAGCTCCCTACATGCAAATGGCTCCCGACATGAAAATGACTCTCCACATGCAAATTACCCCCTACATGAAAACTCCCTACATGCAGATGACTCCCATGCTTTTGTGTGTGTGTGTGCCTGAATGTCTCTCCTGAGCTTCATGTTCATGAATCCAGTTACCTTCTTTTTTTTTTTTTCGTGTCAAGCAACAGATTGCAACCCTCAGTGTTGCGCCCGTACCGGACCGGGACCGGCAACGGGATCGCAACCCTCAGCGTCGCACCCGCACCTCGCTCAGCCAGTGAGTGGGAACCGGTATGTATGTGGGATCCGAACCCTCGGCGGGAGCGCCGCCACGCTCCCAAGCGGCGCACTGTAGCAGTGCGCCACCGGGCCGGCCCCCAGTTACCTTCTTGATATCTCCAGCTGTATGCATCAAAAGCAATTCCAAATTCATTCCCAAAACCTGGTTCTCTTCTAATATTTCCTCAGCTTGGTTGAATGGCCCCCTAATCCATTTTTCTACTTAAGCCAGAGTCCCTGCGGTCATCATGCCATGTTCTATCAATTTTATCTCTTAAATCCATTCATTTCTCTCTAGCTCCACAGAGTCGAGTCTCCATGACTCTGCCAGTAAGAGGGAAAATGCTACTGTGGAAACATCCCCTTAGATATTCCCATTTAGGAGGAGTTAACATGGAGCTGTGGAATTAGGAGAGAATTCCACAGGCCAATACCTTCCACCCACCTGCCCCACCACTTGCTGACAGGTTGCACAGATGAAGTCTCCTTTCCTTCCACCTTCCCTTCTCCTCCCCCAGCAGAGCCAAACTTCAGAAGGCCAGAAAGAGCCCTTGCGGTGTTCAATGCCTCAAATTTCAGAAGAGAGGGCTGCTCCTGCAATCATGTGAGGAGCAGAAAGCATGATGCCTGAAACACTGGGAGTCCTCAGCAAACCATTCCCCTGCTCCCTTAGCTGCGACAGGCCACGACTTCAGAACAGCCCTGCTGGCAAATACAGCAACCAACCCGAGAACAGAATGGGGGTGGGAAACCTCCCATTTACACCTGAGGATGGCTGAAGAACCCAGAAGTGCAAAAAACATGTTTACTGAGTGCTTACTGTGGGCACTCAGCCATCATCAGACGCAACCCAACAAGGCGGGATGGATCCCCATTTTACAGATGAGGAAACT